GGCTTTTGTAAGCAAAGCAGAAGATTTGCTATTATATGCAGTATACTGGATTCTATCAGAAAAATAAGAATGCAACCAACTCTTAGCCCAGGATGCTGTGTGCGTCAAGGAGAGCTTATTTAATAAAAGGCCCCTAGGTACAGAGTCAAGCGCAGATGTGTAGTCTAGGAAAGCACCACGAACATATTTGGCACCTTTGTCTAAACAAGAAACAACATTATGATATAAGACAACCGCAGCATCCAAGATACTTCTACCATGTTTATATGCAAATTGCTTAGGGTCATTAAAAGCTTTCAATGAAGGTTCAAGACGAAGTAAAAGTAGTTTTTCCATCAATTTTAAAAAAGAAGTAATTGCAATAGGCCTAAATTTAATATCGGTACCAGAAGATTGTTTTGGTATAAGGATAATTTTAGTGTTTTTCCATGCAAAAGGTAGAACATTACTGAAAAAGGAAGCATTAAAAATGTTAGTAAGAGGGTAACAAAATATCAGCACAGTTCCTGAGGACAAGGGCAGGTACACCATCAGGACCAAGGCTTTGGGAAGGCTTAAGAGAACGGAGACATTTAAGCACATCAAGGGTATTAAAACCACTAAAATTATTGTCTATGTGATTTGTATCATTAGGAAGGATATCGACAGAGGAGCGTATGAAAGACTTATTAAGATTATCAACATTAAGAGATTGGACAGAAGTACACCGCTTACCGCTAGTTATTTCTTTAAAAAGTTTCCATAAACTAGAAGGGGTTTTACATGACAAGAATCTTTGGTTGTATAAAACATCTAGTCTGTGCATTTCGAGTTTTATCAGAGTATTTAGCTTTTTTACACCTGACTTATCATTTGTTTTGAACAACAGTTCTTTATCTCTACGGAGCTTTTTGAGATATGGAGAAGAGAAACGGTCAAATCGAGTGAATAATGTTTCTTTAGGACAACATATTTCCAAACAGAATTTAAGATAATCTGTGGTGTTTGTGATTGTGTCATTTAATGTTTGTTCTGTAAATAGGTCCCAGTTAGTATCTATCAACATGCATCTGAGTTTGCTTAGATTGTCTTGTGAGTAGCATCTCATTTTAATGAAATTCAAACGGATAATATGTTTGTGAATGATGAAATATTTGTGATATTATGGATGTGTTTATTTAAATAAATATTTTAATAATGTTCGCACTCCACTCATACATTAATAATAATTATTGCTTCTCGATTTGAAAAGTGGTGCCAGTTTAGAAGACTTAATATGCGTTAAATGTCATATATGCACGTGACTGCATCTGGGCATGATGGAGTACTATAATTGCTTTTCAGAAATTGCTTCCGCCGGTGAACTGTTAAACAGGCGATATGCACAACAATAAATTATCTATCAAGTCGCATTATTTTATGACAACAGAATAATCAGTGAACTTGAGTGACGTGGTCAACTAATGCATAAGTCTAAGTGTTGATGTGGTCATGTAAGATCCGACTGATGTGAAATGATAACACAAGAAGAGTGATGTAGTTACCTTTTTACTATCTAATCATTTCCTCTAAGACAGTGGTGTTAAACGCAACATAGGAATAACGGACTACTTGTGATTAACAGGATATACGTTTCATAGTGTACCTGAAGTGCCCACGCTGCCAATACCAGTCAAGTACATAAAGAACCTACGTTTGCTAAGTTATATTTCGTTATTCCATTACAAACACATGTTCAATGGCTACTTTCTTCCTAACATTAGTGAGTACTTATATTATGCGCAACCGGATTAAAGAAACTAAAGCATTTCACGCAAGGCCTGATGATGCATTGACGAAAATATAACGGCTTAAGACTGACGCATTTCACATAAGTATTACTACGTTGCCTATTATTCTCGTTAACTATGCAATGCTGTCGAAATAATTAGTAAAAGAGATAAAGATAGTTGACATAAATATATACATTTGCAACGATACAATCAGGTTAAAAATAATTAAGTATGGGAGAGTACATTTCTACATTAGAAAAAGAGTTTATAGCAAACCAGTCAAAAAATCACAGTTGCAGACTTTTATAGATGCGTGGTAGTCATCACAAAGTCTACTAATCACTCTTTCCACAAGATCTTTATCAGTTTACCTCAGTTGACAGTGGTGTTGTACCAGTCTTTGCAGTTTCCATCACCACCAGATCCTTTCGGAAAAAAATCGATGTGGTCTTTTCAAGCAAAGACTGAGACTATATTCCTTCGAACACCTTCGGCTTCACTGAGAAATATGTGAAGATATACGCATATCAGGTGAATTGATCTTACCTCTGGTGAACAATTCCTTATCTGAGGCACACTGAATATATGAACAAGGGAGAGAACAGCCATAGAGTTGGTGAAATTATATATAGTCGTCCATAAATTCCACGATAGACTTGACGAATTGCAGACCTTCCAAAACATCTATCCCACTTTTTCTTCTATAAAAAGCAAATATTACACAACTGCCTCTCTTTTCCATCCCAAACAACCAACAGAAAGATAGCTAATCTTCAAACATTATGCTAAGTTAGCCTACAAGATTTGTTTTTGAAAGTGAATTCAATGCAAATCACATCTGTGGAACTGATACATATATTAATTTTTCACCTGAAGCTGAAAAATATAATGTCTCCAAAATAAACCATATGATGAAAGACTGAAGAAATTAGGCCTATTCACACTTAGCTACCGTCGTCTTAGGGAGGATTTAATTACTGCCTACAAAATAACAAATGACCAGAATCACCCAAACAAAGGTGTTCTGTTATTGAGTAGGTGTAGGCTCCCTCGTGGAAATTCTAGAAGGATTGCTCACCAGAGGGCAAGGACCTGGGTGCGCTCCCATTTCTTTTCCCCGAGGGTTTGCCGTCCCTGGAATTCCTTACCGGCAGATGTAGCTATGGCACCGTCTGTGGACGCCTTTAAGCGAAGGCTGGAAAACCATGCAGCGACACAAGGACTGTATCCAAATGGCCTATCCCCTTAAAATCGCATACACCATTCAGGGGTAAACAACTAAACTGGTCGTTTTACTTGTTTACATTCTCCCCCGTCTTACTCTCCTGAGAGCTGTAACTACACCTATTATTATTATCATTATTACCGGTATATATATGTATATATTATTCATATTATTCTTCAAATTTAATCAGCTGACTGTTGTTACGTTTTCTTATTCTTTTTCTGTCTGTTAGTCTTGTAGCGGTAAATAATTCCCCAAAATTATTGACCACAGCAATCATCACTCAACATTGGATGCTGACCATCACTGTTTAAGTCGACTTGTTTAGCTGAAGGCTTACGGTCAAGCATCCCCGCTTCGTGCGTGCACGATTACTAGCTAGCTAAGCATCATCTCTGCCCGGATTTTGTCCCGAAATATACTACGTACTTTGGACGACAAAATCTGGTCTTTTGCTTTACCATTTGGTACTCGAAGAACGAACACTATAGAAGTTGTTGGTATAAGATCTTGCGTTAGTATAATCCGTACAACTCGCGAAGTGATACCGCATCTAAAGTCTGAATAACTTTACTAATCATATCTATTATTGTTATCTCTTTCCTTTTGACGACGATACCGGAGGACTAACTAGTGAAAGGATCAACTCCATTCACAGTAGTAACAGTCTTAACACACCTCATACTACAAACCACATATAATTAGTCCCAGCACTACTCCTTTGGGAGTCAACCAAAGCTACGACAGTCGAGTGGCGGGACGAGCTACGCAGAAGTTTACCGAAGATCAGGAACTTATACCTCACAATCAAGAGGCGAGCACAAAGAAATCAAATTAGTTTATACTAGCTCGTAAAAACGATATTGGATATTGGACGTACAATACACAAACATATTAACCGCAACGTTTACGCAACGGAAAATCTACCAATAACAATATGTGCGAGTGACCTTCAAGTGCCCAGCCTCTTCGTAAGCCATTTGTGCCGCGATCCTCTCTCCGGCATTCATGATTATTTCGGTAACTCTAAACTGTGGCAGCCCAAACCGAGTTACCATTACATCTACTTTTTATCACTAATAAACAATGACATGTAGCATTCTTATTGATTTTGTATACACATGCATATTTAGTAGCTCACTAATTCCCTAATATTTACCTTCATGAAGTCTAGGCGGTATTGATATCAAACAGCTGTTACCTGTTTGATTTACGCTAGAGTAAATGATATGTGAATTCTGCATAGATATCAGGATGCTCTTGCTGGTGTTTCCTCTCATTCGCCTTGCTACTGTAACCTCGGTATGCCAAAGATTGTCATAAATGTGTCTATAATATCAAAACGTTTCGCTCCAGGTGTCAGAGTTTTAAGCCCAGGGAATTTTTGCATGATTATTACCGTATTTCCTAAAAATTTTCTGATGAGTCATTCTCCCAAATGTGAATTAACTGCTTATAGGCCTGTTTTGTGGCTGTTTCCCTTACCGGTGGAAATAAGTAATAAAAAAATGTGTTTCAACTTATCAAAACTAGCTTATATGCGCCTGGAGTTTATGATAAAATAAAGAGATGGATGGATTACACAAAACCCTCTTGAGTATTCGATGGTATTATTTGAGTGTTTGGAGTAAAATTACAAATGTACTATAAGTTTACCATCTTCGGATGTTTAGGTTTCTTTTCCTTTCTAAGTATCTAAGCTCTACCAACCTCCATAGGTTTAAAGAACAGTAATATAGATAGGCAGTCTTTGATTGACAAACGTATGAACCGGTGGTTATCGATATTTGTCCTCAAGTTGACTTAGTTTTAAGAAAGAAATGGGCAATTTCACAAGGTGAAATATTAAGCAGTATAAAAGACAGCTGTATAGCCACTGTCATTCGACATAAATGTTGCAACAACATTCATGTTATTTTCATAAAATTTTGTTTTAGTTGAACATTTGTTTCTCGATCTGGTTATTTGGTGGAATTCATTCAAATGTCTTTGAACAACAAGGATGTGATTACTTTATCAAAGTGAGTTATGACGTTTTTGTGTGTAACGAAAGACTTCTGTTTTAAATGCATGCTGTCCTCAGATAAACTCTTTAGACTATTATAAGACACATACTTATTTTGTACTTTGCCAAAATGACAGGGTGATGTTGTTGCACAAGTACAGAATTTCTGTTGTAATACTATGGTTAGTGTGTCCATTTTTTTGAATGAGTTTAGTTTAAGGTCGATTCCAACTACAGACTGTTTCCACTCAAACGAATAGCCTTGTTTGGTAAGAACAAGTAATTTATGAAGCACATCAGTTAGGTAACTTGTAGTTGACTGACTGGATTCAACATAGAACTTCACGCAGAAGTGCAGCGGTCCGACTTGCCACACTCCGTGTAGCACGCAAAGGTGGAGAAAAAAAGATTCAAAAGAACAATAATCAGAAATGTACGGGAAAAAGAATATCAACATGAAAAACAATGGGGGTTTAGTGGATATGGAAGGTCACAAAGAGTGTATGCATCTGCTCCATTAAGAACGATTTCGAGCCGTATCACCAGTTGTCTCCAGCCATATGTTCCTAGCATCCCGAGGACCCCAACAAGGAAGCCAGTCTACACCTCCTTATGTGGCTCAAACCAAGTATCAGAAATTTCAATTTTCGGTTTGACCACCACGACTCTTTTCCAACCTGATCCTATGTCAGCTAGATAGCTTATCATATGTATGTTCATACATTGGTTGTCGGTCATATTAATGCTAACTGAGTGGCATATGGTTATATCTCACCGAAGTTGGCAAAATTCAGTATTTTTATATGCTGATTACTTTTTTTTCAATAAGACTGTTTTTGTATCTATAGAAAGTTGGAAACAACCAGATTTATTAAATTGTTTGTTGATTAAACTTGAGTCATTTAGTCAAAGCAACCACTGGTAGCAGGTTGGACAATATTCTTATTCTGAGTTTTGCTGCTTTATTGTTACTTATTGGTTAACCACTAGACACATTCCCAAATAGTACTTAGTATATGTTCACGTATAGTGACACTAAAAATAAGTAATGTCTAGTTATAAATCCATCATGGTTAAGATTTTATTTTGATAAATCACACAGTGTTATACTGTAATATTAACTGATGACGTTTCGAGCACAAATTATTGCTCACAATCATATCAAGTCCAATGTCTAGTTATATTTTCAGAAAATGCATTCTGATGTTAGATAAGAAGCTTTTGTTAGATAATTAGTTTGAGAAATATTACCACTAAAGTCAAAATTTCCTTCAGTCTTTAGGGAGAACAAGAAAAATAAGTTGTGCAGGAAGTGTCTCACTTCATTGTTGTCAAGCACATAGAAGCTGTTAGATTTAATGAATATTCGCATTCCTTTGGTTAACTCAAAAGGCTTAAAACGAGAATTGGAGGAGATTAGTCGAATACTTGTAGGCTGTGTTAGTTGTAGTAATAGGTTAATGTGAGTTACCAGATGGGTGATTGTGAGCATAGAAGTAATCAGTCAGTTATGATCATTGTTAAAATACAGACAGGCAATAAAGACGAAACAAAACTCCTCAAGGTCCTCAGAAACATTTCCAAGTTACTTATTGAGCGGTTTTGAAAAAAATATTACTACCAAGACTCTTAATTCAGCTAGATTCTGCAAGCTAGTGGTGTCGAGCTACACTTGTCATTGATTATTTTGAAAGTACGTTCAATGGTGACAGCGTGCAACCTACAGTGATTGAATTCATTATACCTGTTTTAAGTGCAGGTTAGTTCTGCAAACATTGTTTGTCCCGGCCTTAATTCAGGGAATTAAAACACAAATCAACATAGACTGCCTTTAAGGCATTACATCTCACGACAGTAAATAATGACGTAACGACAGTTTTGCCATTTATATCTTATTTTTTATACGAGCTCTAATCAAGATTTGACCGAATAGTTCTTTTATTTTATTTTCATTATTTCTGTGGAGAGATTCGTACGAGTTAGCCCATCGAAACGTTGGAATTATTGATTTAAATTTCACTGAGATTTATAGAAATGTAATTCTCTTATTAGTTCATCTTTAGTGGCCGAGATGGAATTAATCAATTGGAGCCAATAGTTGTCTTTCCAGATGGTATCTACCTGAGATCTTGCAGTCTGTAGAACTTCCAGCATAATCCATTGACGGACTTAAAATATTTGCTCGATACTCTGTTTTAAGTCAGACGCTTCTTTGTGTATCAGTCCTATTCTGGTTAATGAGTAGTAGTTACCAGTGTTAAATTTTATGAATTTGTTAAGCATTCATTGACCTGTTGTTAGAGCATTTTCATCTGGAAAGTTATCACAGGACTCTTGTATACCTGTGAATATTAGTCCTACTGAAAGTTTCTAATTTGGAGTAAAGCCGCTACCAATCGTTGCTTTAATCTCGTGTTTTTAGAGGCGCCAACTCCAGCAGTACCGACTCGTAGAAATGTTTTTTTTTGAGTAAGCAGTGTCCATGAACATACTAGTGGTATTTTCTTTAAATATAATATTCGCTCTCCTTACCCTTATATATACTCATCTATTTGATTTAAGGATTTTTAAAAATAGCATTTTATCATCATTTATTGTTGAGCCACACTAATAGTGTCAGAGCGGATGATACAGCCCAGCTGTCCAAGCTGAAGTGGGTGGGATCTGACTTGAACGTGGAACCCATAAACTGAGTGTTGAGTGCTAAAGCCAATGACACGCATGTAGTGGAACTGAGTTTTTGCAACAAATAACATTTTATCGTCATTGTACGCATGAAACTATTGACAATTTTTAGAGACATTGACTAAATAATGAGAAAAACAAACGGATTGCGTTGGGTGTGATGGGTGTTGCTTTTTAAATTATCGTAAGATGAAGTTTCGCGTAGTTAGAAAGGATTCTTGTGAAAGTATACAGGTCTCAGTATTTGCATTCACTCCAGAATTCTAGATGATGTTATGAATCCAAAAAAGTAGCAGCTAAATTCACCAAATGAGAATCAATGATGTTGAGAAGTACTGGGATCTGTCTACCTTTTTGCCAAACAGTGATACTTATTAAACAAAAATAAATTACTCTGTAAAGGTCTTGTTCATAATCCCGTTATTAATCTGTATGTTTCCTATCTTCATAGCCGTTGTATATATATATATATATATATATATATATTAATCCTTGTTACATTTTTGATAAAGTAATAATACATGAGTGCAAAACTTTTAAATATATTGTTTTATTTTGTTAGCTTTCTTAATCCTGAACGGATCGCTCGTCAGACATTGGAAATTATTACTAATATAGCACAACATCAGTTCGCTAAATCTGATCGTTATAAATTATGCCGCACTTTGGTTAGTTAGAATTTCGAATCATTTTCTCCTATTGTAGATGTTCATTTTGCAGCATGATTTCTTGTGTGAAGCAATATCTCATTTTGGAGCTGCTTATTTAATATGGGATTTGTGGAAATCAGAACACTTTCCAAATGGTAATAATCCATTTACAGAGTTTTTAGTTTCATATCTGGTTAGTTCATCCAGTGTAATTATAACTTTCTTCATTTGACTTTTAGCAGGATGAAATAAACTGTAAATTACCACGATCTGCAATTTCAATGTTCCATACGGTTCTCCATCAACCTGATCATATTCGTGATGTATGCGTCTATGTTCATTATTTTTATTTGACTATTTATAGTTTCTAAAGTATACTCCATTACAGATTTTTGATTTACAGTGTCCCAATATTGATACCAAGGTAAGCTACTTTAAGTAGTTTTCGGTTTTGTACGAAATAAGACGCTAAAAATTGTAAAAATAATCCTAATTTATAAATATTTAATTTAGCTTAACTGGAATATACCTTCATTTACCAACTCTCCGACTTCATCTTCACGTGTTTCGAAGTTAGCCGCCTCTGGATTAGCATGTGTTGTCCCTGATAATGACGTGCCTAATTCTTTTGAGTGAGTCCATTGTTTATATTCACAATTTTCTGTGGTTTTGACCAATAACAGGGGTTTAAATAACATGTAGTGTGACACAATTCTGTGTTGGTTCACATCCCAAGACTGTAATAAAACTTAAGGATAAGAAGTACAAACAAGTTAAAATAGTGATATCATTGGTAATGAGAAATTAAGACGCATAATAAAACAAGTTAGAGTTGAAAGTACTTTTTCTCAGTGGTTTCATTTTCTAAGCAGGGAAGTCTATGGAAAAGTTTTCTTAAGAAGTGCCTACGGTAACGACCTGCTAATGATGTTTGCTTCCTGTGACTATACTTGCTATCAACGTTAATCTTCAAGTAAGTAGAGGCATCTTGCTAAGTGTTCTCTGATGTTCAAGTCTCTTCATTGTACGCTGCCAATAGCGAGCATTATCGGTGAATGATCGTTTATTTTGAAAAGTATTCTTGAACTTCAGTCATGTGTTAATTGTGGCGATTCTCGCGGTTATTAAATACCGTACTTGTTCGGGTGTAGAAATAAAAATAAAGCTATTTAACCACCCACAACAAAAGGCTGGCATGTCATTTTTTGTGGATCTGTCGAACTTTTCGACTAGAAAACATTTGATTCTGGCTGGCTCAGACCATGATTAGGAGCGAAAAACAAATCAAAGTAGAACTTTGTATTGAAGTACATCATTTGAAGTTGTTACACTTCAAGATAGTACACAAGCAAAAACTGAAGTGTGTTGGTACTACATTTTTGAGTTATGTCACCAGGAATTATCAGTCATCGATTTTAATATCTTGAGGTCTTCTTTCAGCAAACCGACACCTGACGTGAGTTTGGCTAACGTTTGGAATCTTCATGGATTGTGGAAGTGTATGACTCAGCAGTCTGTTTTATCCTGCTATACAGCTGTAGAATATCACCACTGGAAGCAGATAACACCAAAGTATTGTGTGCTTGACCAAATATTTTTTCGACATTTTTTTACGTTAGTTACAACCACAAAGTGATGTAGAGGGTAATTATAAAATACCAGGTTAAGAAGGCAAATTATTCGATGAATATTCACTGATGTTTCTGACGTATGTGTTATGCATGCCAAGTTACTGTCTTCTTCGTCGGCTCGTGTTTGTGCAGGTAAAATGAGGCTGATAAAATGTTAGAGGGAACCAAACAAATGTATAATACGAATCCATGGATTTATTGATTATTGATCTGAATTGTTTACAAAAGTGTAGGATTTTTCACTCTAATTTTAGACAGGGTTGTAGGCATCATGTTACCACCTTTTTCATTCTCATTCTTTTCGTATAGCTAATTGATCTAAAGTATTTTCACTCTTCGTACTACGTATGTTTATGTATAAATGAAATGCCTCCAGGTAACGGTTAGAACGCATCAATTATGGTCTGGGTTGCAACACCAAATTTTGCTGTCTTCATAATGTTTTTTTAAAAATTTTACTTGCTATGTTACATGATGCTATTGCCTGGAATTTGTGCTTTGTAACGCCAATTAGTTCTTTTCCAACTGACTTGCAGTGTGAGAACTCGCTTCTGCTGTCTTGAGTACTGACATAACAGTCTTGTCAATAAGCACGTTTGAATCTGGCGCACATAATAAGTTTCCTTTGAAATGCTGGTAAGAATGGTTTGAAGTTTTAACAGATGTAGGATATGAGGAAGGGGATCAGTTAGTGCTTACTGTTTACTTTAAAACTTAAAAGCTGTATGAGTCTTTCTTATTTTTACTGTTAACCATGTATGTTTGTAGTCAACCTTTTCTTGCCGCGTTAACCATTTTTCACATTTACTGCCTCAATTTTTACATTATAGGCCTTCTTTTCATTTACATAAAGCTGGTACAGTTGATTCATCTAATATAGCAGACCTACAACGTCAATGTTTGGACTCATTATTGGCTCGTGGTGAACCATTGAGTTGTCGAAATAATATATATCCCGAATTTCTTCGTGTTGCTCCACCTTTATTACCGTGTCCTCAAGGAATCGATAAGATTTTATATGATCTAGATGAAGAGTTTGAATCTCCTATTCATACAGACACTGGTACTATTCCTGCGGACAAGAAATCCTCAGCAAAGAAGTCTAGACCTACTTATGGTTGGTGCGAAGAACTTATCTGGCTTAATCCTGATATTGTAGAGCATGATTTCCATTGGAATAGCAGTGTGGAGTTGGTCAATATGACAGTTGAGGTAGTTTTCAAGTCAGTTATTCTTTTCTTTTTTTATTCTATTTTGTTGTCAATATTTAGTAGGTTTGGAGATCATTTTAACCACAGTCTTTTTTTCTGAGAACTGTTTAAAATATGCATATACGTAGCTATCTGAAGCTTAGTGGGATCCCCGAGTATTACAACAAACCTCCCTGACTTTAAATCATAGAAATTAATTTACATAGTGGTTCGCTTCTTCCTAATTTAATGGGAATCTTTTCTGGATTTCTGTAGATCATTAGCATGCAGATATCTGTTACAGGTTTTTATTCACAGCCCATATTTGTAAAATCAACTTCTGTTACATAATGAAATTGATATGCTTGAAATCGGAAGATGGCTTCATCTCAATCTCCCTACACCCAAGGCTGGATAGGAAATGGACTTATTATCAACCCTGAAGTTAATGTGTTCATTGGAGATTATCATGATTCCAAAATCAATGTAGAGAAGTGGTAAGCGTGAATTGGTAAACAATCACAATAGATAATCAAATGTATTTACCTGACCGATATCGTCTTTTAGTGAAATTACATCCAAATCTGAATAAAGAAAGAACATAGAGATTTTGCAGAATAATATGGTACCATCATTTATTTCTTTGGCTTCTCATTAGCTGCTTACAGCCTAAATAGATTATTAAGTTTATGTACAGAAAGGTTTTAAAATACTTGCAAATTTTACTTGATGTCAGTTGACAGGAGGTTCTGGACTTAGTGAACAGTGTTCAGAAAATTACGCTTATATAGTTTTTGCACAGGGGGTTCAAGTTTAAACAAGGTAAATGTATGCATACAATGGTAAAGGAGTTGCGTAAGATGATGAGTAACTTATAAATTAGGTAACAATGTACTGAGTTCAGCTCAAATCATAGAAACAAGAGACAAGCAAAATTACACTATATCAAGGGGGTTGAGGTTAGAGCCAAAGATTACGTAATCAAATGAGAGTAAAGACATCCAGTTACCAGGGGAAGGAAAGACTGATAACCGCTTCTTTCTGAACGTATAAATCGCGTTTCAGGCGTTTGATAGAGATTGCTTCGGCAAACTTGAGGAGAATTGAGCTTTTTTGTCTATTGATGATTTTAAAGGATTTTGCAGTTTCCGCTTCATGACCCGTATCAAGGAGACACCTGGTAATAGAACTGTTGTAAGCGTTTGTTCCCTTGAGACGTAGTCTTTTCGGTACATATCCAGAAAATTGAACGGGTGCCCTTCTTTCTTTTCTCCCACTGTAACTGCTCCCGCAGATACAAGTAAATTTATAAACACAGTTGGGGTTGACATGAGAAGGGTATCTGTCGACTTTTGACTGCACCAAGAAGCATGCTGTCCGATAGACGGGAACCAACTTAGTTTCAGGGTAGACTCTGGCTAGTAAAGTATTCGGTCTTCTGTAGACTATTGCTGCAATATTTTACCATTGAAATTGAGTTGAATGAAGACAGGCTTTTTTCCACTATGATTTGTTTGATGTTCGAGTCTTCGCATCTTCCATATGTGTTAATGAATCTCTGAGGATAACCGTTGTTTTTCAACATCTTTTCAAGAATCTTAAATTCTTCTAATTTCTCCGCAGAGCATATTCTCCTAGCTCTTTAGTACAGAGTCTTGACTAGTGCTCGTTTATAGCTATTTGGACAAAAAAACTAATAAAATGTCCAAATCTCTTCATCGTTTTCAGTCTGTTGGATTTAATAATAACTTTTAGTAACTTGGTTGATAGTGATTAGCAGTGGAATCCAGTATGCTTATTTCGTCCCCTTTGGTTCTCTTCATCTGGATTTACTTGCATCTCCTCTGAGTAATAGTGTTCGCGCTGGTTGATTTGAGTGGTAGACAACTACTCATCCCAACCAATCAGTAGTATATAGTTTTAGTTGATCAAATGTTAACTAAATGGTAATTAGAGACGTGATTCATTGGCTTTAAAAACTTGACTGAGTAACATCATCAATTCTCATTGAATAAATTTTTCTCCTAGTCTGATTCATAGAAAGGTTTTTGTGGATAATTAAGCTACAATTTATTTAAAGATGATATGTATTTCTATTAGTGTTTAATATGCTAGGGAGGAGTAAAATGCACAACAATTCAGTATTCTTATGAAGATTAATTTTTGAATATCTAGCCAGGTATGGTATATATATATATATATAATATGCGCTAACGACGTTGTTGAGTAGTCCAAGCCAGGGTATTTCAGGGGTGGGGGTGGGAGAAGCGAAGTCTGGCTGAACCCTGATATTGAGTGCTGGTGACACATGTTGTGAATTCCTCTGTTATCTATCACACAAGTATTTTCTTTGCGTAGTATATGAAATATTTAAGTTAAACCCGTGTACTGACTTATGTTTGGCGTATTAATGAGGGTGAATTTGCATATTTTTTCTTTGTATGAGTATATTTTTAATTTTATTTTATTATAGCTTGATTCCACACAGTATTTTGGTACAAGTATGAAATTTTCAGCATGTGATATCGGTAGCCCAAATTTAGCAGGCCGACCATAGATATCAGGTGTGCATCGGCGGGGGATGCAAACCTCGGACCATGTGCATGGTCGGCGACAGTCCTAACCGCTGTGCCACCGACGCACAGTTATGAGACATGAGATAAGCAGGACTAATAGTTTAACTTAGACTACTTACAATTAATTTTCAAAGTTTATTCATCAATAATTTTTTAAATCTATTTTGGGAATTTCCTTTTTGTTTTACAGCTGCGTCAACTAATCGCAACAGCAATGGCATCTACATTAACTCAGTCACAACAACACACTATTGTACAAGCGATTAAAGATAATCCAAATGTTATTCATAGCGTTGGGATTACCGCGGAAATTGTAAGTGGATAGTAAGCTAATTGCATTTTTATTGGATTTATTGTTAATTTTGATGTAGTTGTCTTCTCTGAGCTGGATAGTTTATTTGCAAAGCTTTCATTGCCCTACTAGGCAACATCTTCAACGCATACTTCCGATACTCCTGATTTGACCCAGTTCGTACGGATAACTTTTACTAACCGTCGGTAAACAATTTGATACTTTGAGTACTGTAGCCACTAAATAAGTATACTCATTGGGGCCTGCTTGAATCTCTGGGTTACATGAATTGCCATCCAAGATAATGCATCTTATTTTCTTTAGTTCTTGTTGTTATAATCATTTAGTTATATCCGTGTGTCTCTAAATGTACTCGTGCACATTTTTAATTGGTTTGCAGCCTATCGTTGAGCATTTCTGTGGGACCAAAGAAAAATACCGTAGTGGAATATTTTATTTTTCAGTCTAACATCGCTGCGTACATATGTACTGGAGATGGCTGTTTAACTTGATACTCCTGGATGAAGCGTAAATATTATGCAATAAACTACGCTGAAAATTGTGCATATTGTGTAAACTTATTGTGCATAATACAGCTATTGTTATTATTATTATACTAAATAGGATAATGCTGTTTTCATCAGTAATGAATAAGGATGAGTGTAATAACAATAGTAAGTGTTGTTAGATGGTTGAAGGCAATCGGCAGGAAACCTTGGACCTAGGTTTCATGCTAGTTGGCACTCACCAGTCAGCAAGGTGTATCTGCAACCTTGAAGAAACTCATGTCCCTTCTGAGATTCGAACCCGGGTCACCCAGTATTGCAATCGAAGACATTACCACTAGGCTATTTGAGCTCGTAATTGACCTCCTCTATGACTGTAATGGATACTTTGATTGGACACTACATTTGGAGCAGACTGAATTCTGTCTGCTGTCCACATTACAAACCTGACTGATAGAATTCAGTCTGCACCAAACAAAAGACTGGAGGCATGACATTAGTTGCTACGTAGTGTCCAGTCGAAGTAAAAGTAAGAGTAAATTATATTTGGAATCATAATTTGTCGATTGTTTTGTTACATGTAATGCCAATTAAGGTACAGCAGTGTTGTATTAATTACCTTAATAGAGATTCACTATATTCTTAAATTGATGGTACTTGGTAAAGTTTCATATTGAAGACCATCCATGACTTGATTAGTTCCTTTTGGTTAAACACTAGTTAGTAACTAGCGTAATGTGTCTAGTCCTTTGTTTGGTGCAGACTGAATTCTATCAGTCACGTTGGCAATGTGGCCACCATTCTAGGTGACTCGCCGTCACAGTTTACTTTGAATAGTTGATATTAAATGGTTGGAGGCAACTGGCTGGAACCCTTGGACCTAGGTTTCGTGCTTGTTGGCACTCACCAGTCAGCAGGGTGTATCTGCAACCTGAGATTCAACCCCACATCACCCAGTGCTGCAGTCAGAGACGTTATTATTATTATTGTTCCCTTGGGTTCCTAGTGGAACATAGGGCTTCAACTGCACGTCTCCACTTGCTTCTGTCTTCTGCTGTTCTTTTCACTTGCGTCCATGTTATTCCATACTGTTTCATCTCCTCCTCCATCTCCTCCATGTCACCCTTGGACGTCCCACTCGCCGCTTCCCTTTCGGGTTCCACTCGAGGGCTTGACGCGCGATGTCACCCGGAGGCCTCCTCAGCGAGTGTCCAATCCATCTCCACTTTCTCCTGCATATTTGTTGGGCGATTGGTTCTTGTTTTGTTTGTTCCCATAGTTTCTTGTTGGTGATTCTTTCCGGCCATCTGATCTGGAGTATAGAACGAAGACAGTTGTTGATAAAGGTCTGCAACAGGCTGTTGGAAATATTCTTTGTGACCCGCCAAGTTTCTGATCCGTATAGCAAAACTGACTTGACGTTTGTATTGAAAATCCGAATTTTGTTGTTGATGGTGAGTGACGAAGATTTCCAGATTGGTTTCAGGTTGATGAATGTGTTTCTCGCCTTCCCGATTCTCGATTTGACATCCTCGTCCGTTCCTCCTGTGGTTGAGACAATGCTCCCCAGATAAGTGAAAGAAGTAACCTCTTTCAAATCCCAGTCAGAGACGTTATCACTGAGATATTCGGGCTCGCGATTGATCTGTAAGAAACAATGGAATTATACAAACAAAATTTGAAAGTTACGTGAGTTCCTTGATATAATTATGAACAATAAATTGATTATACTCGAAACACGTCATCAATAAATATATGAGATCGTATCACTGTGTGTTTTTATCAAGTAGAATTATTTTATGATGAAATTATACTTTACCTCAGTGTCCAAATACTACTCTTATATGAATACAACTTCAGGATAGTATAAATTCTTGCAAAGTTTTATGTATGTGTTTATTGGTCAATAGAATAAAAAGCCAAGTCCATAGTTTCTTGTTTAACATTCAGTAAAATACCTAGTGGAATGGCTTCTTTTAGCATGTGAACTCGATAGCTTGTAAATTGACTGTTAAGCCTCAGTTATTTTATGTATTCTCCCCTTACTCTCCATACATGTATTATATAGGTTTAGTGACTTGGTTTAAAAGCGTTTATTAATTTTGTTATTCAGTAATTTGGTTTATGTAGGAAAAAAAATTCGTTTATAAATAATAATACTATGGGTTCATGGTATATTTCACCGCGAATCAACATTAGCCAGTACTCGAGAAGTAGCGAACGGTGGAGTGTTCTTTGAGTCGTGTGTGTGACAACGGGTACTCGCCGATGACATATTGCGAATCGATGAAAGTTAATGTTCATGGACCATTGGATTTCGGTTCATTAGTTAAATGGTAGCTCCCTCCCCTTGTAGCCTGACGGGATCATGCGTGTGCACTACTGATAAGTCCCCCACTACAACGAAAAGGCTGTCCAGTGCGCCTCGGTTTTCAGTGGTTTTCCAACTATTGTCAGTTCATGACCAAAAACTTACTTTGAAATCAGTTGAGTCTCCACTGAACCCCAGCACTTGAAACTACCAAGACTACTCAGCATTTCAGTTCAGTGTGTACGACGGGGTGGAATTTGTAAAGGTTCGCTAAATCATCACATATTCTAATCGAGAAAACTTCAGAATGAGAATTATTTTTTTGTCTTAAATGTCATAGAATATTTTTATCATCATTAAGGAGGGCATTTCTGTACGCTTTTTATTTCTTCCCTAATTTAGATAGTTGATTAATGAGTTATAAAGGTTTCATTATACTTTTCTATATTGTAGTTGACTCCATGACTGTGAGTCGTTTCTCAGTTAGGGAAACGAAAACCAGTTTATGTTTCTTTAAACTATATTACAAGGAGTATTTTCGCTCAAAATATTATGAAAATTAAATCTTGTCACTGCTTGCAAACATCCATTGCAAATACTTTTTCATTCCTTTGCACTCCAAGTGGAACATAGGACTTCAAGCTTTAGCTTTGAAGTTTCAGCAGCAGTGGTGTTGTTATTTACAGGATGGGGTTGCTAGTCTCACACACATTCTGACCTCTTCACCGAACTTATTGTCGACTAATCTAGGCTTAAGTGTACGTCGGCAGGGATTTGAACCCTCACCACATGCGTGATTGGCGAGCATTCTACTGTCTAACCAAACATTACAAATATACATGTCATAAATTCAACTTTTCCAGTAAATTGATGTTATTCTGAATTTAACAATCAGCTTTTTAACCAGTTGGTTTCGATTAATTAATGGACTCTTGTTTTACGACTATAAATCGGTTCTCTTTATTTGCTCACTCTGGAGAATGTACAAATGAAGCGGTTTATTCCATAGCTTTACCTATTTCACATAACTATATAAGAGAATATTTATGTTTATTATTTATTTTCTCTCTCGTCTATTCCACTGCATCTTTATTTGACAGCTACCAAATCTGGTTAATCGTAATCCAGTGATTGCAATTGAAGTTTTACAATTACTAATTACGTCAGCTAAACGAGATGAGTAAGTTATGGTTTGAGTCGTTCGTTCTCTGTAAAGTTATGTTTCTGTGTTGAAAATTCTTTATATATATATATATATATATAGGTAGGTCACGATCAGCTAGATTATCAGAACATAAAAGTGTAGCTAGATCTAGAATAATTGACCCTCCTAAGTTAAGTAATTTAGAAAAAAAGTTACATCATTAGTTTGCTTGTATTTAGATATAATTGCACAATAGACTGGGAAAGGGTAAAAGCATTTAACTATAATATAGTTAGATGGAGAGAGAGAGAGAAATTAGCTGTTGAATGTAGCATCCATTATGTACGTTTGAAATGACCCGACACCAATTCCATATTTATGGAAAATCGCATTAGAAATCGGGAGGGTGTAAATCTGTTTGAAGCAGGTGAAAAGTTGTGTAAATATATTGATATAATTTATCAGCAATAAATAGTAGTCCAGGTATTAACGCTATATCACTGTGTGTTACTATTAACTAAACTTATCTGACTAGTTGAGTTTAAGCATGGAACTTTGCACAAAATTGCAGCAGTTCAAGTCTCCACTCTCTACATAGTACAAAAAAGTAGACAAAAGAGTGAAAAAGAGGATTCAAAAGAAATATAATAAGCAGAAATGTACAAGAGAAAGGATAATAACATGGAAAAGCACAAACTTATCTAATGTAGAATAATACGCAAGACATACGATTCTAGAGTGGTGTACCAAATACAGTTGAACTCCACATAGTGGCTCGGTAGTTTTAACACTAGTCTTGCAGCCAGCGGGGATCAGACTCTAATCTCATTTCATCTGCGTCAGCCTTGTTGGCTGCGTAGTATTATCGGCCTCCCAGCACTGTAAGTGTAACGGATAACCTGACATTTAAAATATTCCTCCTGGGTAACTATTTTCCTTCAATGCAATTCTGTATCAAAAATAAGAATGGATGATTACCAAAAGAGTTTTTACTTTATTTATATTTTTATCATGTGATTGTCACTGAATAGCAGTCTGTCTCAGATTAATGCATGTAGGTCTTCAATTTAGCTAGTTTTCTTCGCAATGCTCAGCCCAACTGAATTTTTTAGCGATATCCAGATTCTCTTTGTGTACGTGTGTGTGTGTGCGTGGTTGGCTTTCTGTGATTCAGCGATACTGGGACTGAGTTACTGCAGACTTTAGCACCATCTTCTATATTTTAATTCTAACAGCATAGTGGAGAATAATCTGCAAATACAATAAATAATATGCCTTGAAGTATATACAATTACTGGGTTAAGTTCTGATATTGACTGGCGCAAACATTGATCATTAGATTACTTGTTCATTTCGATCATATAAGTATTTTCTCATTAGTAGTAATGTAACTGTAAAAGACAAGACACTTGGTAACGGGATGTTTATTTGAAATTTGGTATCTCTATGTGATGAAGTTATGTACACCTTATCTTCAAATCGTCATTTGCACAGATCTTCCGTGTTGTGCTACTTCTGGCCTTCCTTCATATTGTGTTTCTTGTGTTCCTTTCACGTCTTCCATGTATCTCCGCAATACTGAATCATTTTCTTTCTCTGACATCAAATCTATCTCCCTGTTATTTGATGTTTTTATGCCGAGGAATGTCTCTTTATATACTACTGATAAATCTTATCAGTAGCACACGCCACAGTAGTATAATAACTATTACAAATCCCTACTACATTCTGCGAATTTTAATTTCCATGTTATCGCTCACAGTTATTTCTTAATTACCTTTATTTTATAGCTGAGCACATGGGTTTTCAAATGAGCTTATGTAATGACTTGGAAAATCTAAGGCCTCTTAGCTTCAGTTACTTTTTTATGTAGGAAAAGTTGACTAAGTAGTTTTTTTTTCTGAATAAAAAAACAAATACACCATTCGTGTATTTACACCAGGCTCAGCCCACCATTTGCATGGATTGGTCAAGGTTTGAATACACATTGGTATTCACTGTTGACAAATATGAAAATTTGCTATGAGCTAATTTAAGCACAAAGTAATGCTCGTTTGTCTTCCTTATTCTTGCTTCAAACAGAATTATAAAACTGATGCTATGATATCAAGTATCAGGTGATCACAGGAAATTATGCACTTGAGTAAAAAATAGTTTATTAAACAAGAAGTGTACATATGACAAAATACATATGGGTCCAGGAAGTAGAAAGGTGATGTATGAGTTACACTTTATTGGCGTTGTATGTCACTCAAGTTGTAATTTATTGTCCTTGTCCTAGTGGAACATAGTTATCAGTGCTTTCCTCATTTTCTAGGCGCATTAGTGACCATTGAAATACTGTCATCAGGTTTGATGATATGATGTTCACAGTGTAAGCTATAAATTTTCTTTTATCTCGATCACCTATGATAAAGTAACGAAACCTTGAATTTCTAATTTTTGATCACTTGTCGGTCCTCTCAAAGTTGATGGTATCCTTCATACATTTTTTCCTCTTTATGAATTCAAGTAAAGCAAGAACAACAGTTTTGCAGAATAAAATGGTACCATCATTTATTTCGTTGGCTTCTCATCAGATGCTTACAGCCGAAAGACATTATTAAGTTTATCTACAGAAACAATTTTAACATACTTGCACAGAAAGAAGTGGTTATCAGTCTTTCTTTGCCCTGGTAACTTTCTTCTGATTGCAAATTATTGATATATGTATCATTGTATGCATATATTGATTTTCTGTTTAAAAATGAACTCTATGCAAATATGTTAAAATTGTTTCTGTACATAAACTTAATAATGAGAAGCCAACGAAATAAGTGATGGTACCATTTTATTCTTCAAAAATCTGTTGTTCTTGCTTTATTCCAATTTTATGGTATCCGTTTGCTAACGAGTGTAGGGCTTACAAACGAATGTCTGGAATCATTTGTCAGTGTTCACGTTTCTTAGCTTAGTGATCACATTGGAAACTTTGTGGGTAGATTTCAGACAACGCCACCAGCTAAACAACAACATGACAGTGAATAATGACTAAAAGAATTTAATGCAAAAGTTAATTTATTCAGTTATTAATTTATCTCCGTGTTAACAGTACTGGTGGTTGGTGACTGTTTGTTACTCTTTTTCTTCTCATTTTATCCTACCAAGGTACTTGAATGCTTTACTTAAAATGGAGGTCACTGTACAATCAATCGAAGTAGTGAATAGATTATCTACAAAAATAGTCTTACCTACAGAATTCATACAGAATTACATATCAAATTGTTTAGCATTTTGTTATTCAGTACAAGATAGATTCTATCAAATGCGTCATGTACGGCTTGTATGTGTACTTCTTCAATCACTTATCCGAAACAACATATTAGATATTCATAATCAAGTAAGTCCAGTTTACTGTAAAATTACCTAAAATCTATTACTAAGGGATTTATTACTTCTATGTACTAGCAATGTTAGGTTTACATTTGAAGGCGGTTGTTTCCGCCAAGTTGATGGAAGTCCGTTAGGACCCCTTTTAGCAGATATTTATATATCGTACATTGAGAGTTTATCGGAGGATTTAATCGAAAATGTGCCACTGTATAGAAGGTATGTAGATGTTATTGTAATCATGAGTGATAAATCTTGTTCTGCCACCTCAATTTTAAATCGAATGAATGAAGTTCGGAATAGCATATCGCTTGCATCTGTAGAAGAGGAAGATAATTGTTTATCTTTCCTAAACATATTGCTTAGTCGACGGCCTGGTGGGTCAATAAAAAGATATATTTTTAGAAAACCTACATGGACAGGACAGTATCTTAATTACCACAGTTTCTGCCCTGTTCGGTACAAAAGAGCCTTAGTAAGGTGCCTCTTCAGTAGATTCCGACGAATATACACTGAAGACACACTTGATGAAAAAGAAAGAAAGGTGACACAAACTCTGGTTGATAACAGTTATCCAGACAAGTTCATCAGGAGATATAAAGTAGTCAGAACACTCCACAACTCGCCCCTAAGAAAGACGTGCACATCAAGCTACCCTATATGGGGCATCATAGCAGCCTGATAACTAGACAAAGACTGAACGCTGCTGTTAAAAAGACTTTATGCAGCTAATATCATAATTGAAAATGTGAAGCCAATATATCTATCTAAGCCCTTTGAACATGCGGAAAATGATGTCACATCCCACTGTATTTACCAATTTGAATGTACGTGTGGACACACATACATAGGGACAACTCATCGATCTCTGCAAGTAAGGGCTTCAGAGCACATTCCTAAATGACTCCAGAAGCAAATAGAATCTTCAGAACCCATTAATGGTGAGAACAAGAGACCTATTGCGAAACATATTATAGAGACAGGACATAAAATTGATATTAGTAAATTGTTCCCTATGTGAATTCAGTTAGACAAAGCGATAAGAAGACGTAATTTGTCTGAATCGTGTGTAATGTGTATTTGTACAACACATTTCGAACAATCTGATCCATCACACACGGACTTGTCATAGGGAATGCATATATATGTGAAATGAATAAAGAGTTAAGAGGTGAGAAAATAAATTTAGGTCAAGTTAAAAGGACATATTGAAGGTCAAAATAACAATGAAGATCACTAAACCAAATAACAGAGGTAACAGTACACCTACCACCCTGGTATCAAAACAAATTTTACCAAGGAAGGTTTATTGTGATGACGAATTGTTTTTGAACGCATAAAGGTGGTTTAAACTTTCTAATTGCTAGGGCTTCCACAAACTTTAGGATACGCCCCAAACACGTTTTATAGATAGGTTTAAAAGATGTGTGTGAACATCAATTTTATGTCCTGTCTCTATAATATATTTCGCATCAGAGGAGCTAGGTCTCCTGTTCTCACCATTAATGGATTCTGGCAATGATAGTCAGAATTATTGTAAATTCTACAACGTAGTGAAATCTACTATCAAATAGTTTTTTCCATTCAAGAGAGACTTTAAGTCAACATAGTCTTATGTTTTTGTTTCGTTCTCATCCACATTGTATATTTATCAAGGAAAAATTAACCAGAAGTAAACTTTGTCCTTTTTCCAATTCCAAAAGCTATAAATACACACTGATCTGACCTATTTTGCTTTGCATCACATATGATCCTTGTAGCGCTAAATATTTCAACATTTACTGTTTCACTAAATGGAATTACGTAGTTTTTAAACACTTCCTTTTCAATACTTCTGTTATTGACTTATGTTTTACAGAATTACAACAGCATCACACTTTGATTGTAATTACATTCGTTTTCCTTAGTTTATTGAATAATGGTATGACATTAATAAGTAGTACATATTATTTAAAATGTAATCGTCGTGACCAATAGATTAATAGCCATGTTTCTTAGTAGCGGTAAGCGTATCGATTATTAAATGCAATATAGTCAGTGGTGGAATACACGATTACGTCACCTGACCAGTAGCCACGCATATTGTGTGACAGTTGATGATACCAACTAGTTGGTCAGGTTGAAGTAGGGCAGGGCAGAACTCGAGCCCGGAAGTAGCATAAGTACAATACAGCCAATGTTAGCTTTGACCTTTCCTACTACTTTTGCTGACAGTTAATAAGCAGCCTACATTTCTAAGCTTTGCAAAGTGGATGGTTTTTCGTAGACTAAAAGGTCATTGCTGATTTCCAGCATATAGATGACTCACTTTGTTAATTATCTACTTAGTGTTTATCGTGAAGCAATTTATTATCTTATGTCTATATCAAAAGTTCAATGACCACAATAGTCTACTTGAAAGTTTTCATCCAAATAGTTGCAGTCAATTTAGTGTTTCATTATTTGCAGTTTTAACCACATAACTAACTAAACTATGGCTATATTGTATACAGAATTTACAAACTGATTACCATTGTTTTTCTTTTAGTAATAATTGTATATCCACTTGCATTTTTTTTGATATTTCAGGATATTTTGATTGAAGTAAGGACATTTTGTGTAGAGTTTACAAAGGCACGGGAAGCGACTACACTTCATAGATTAATATTGAATATGGAGAATGCTGCTACCACTACCGCCGCCGCCACCACCACCACAACAACAACAACGGTGTCTAGTAGCAATTCCACTACCTCAATCACTTCTACCAGTTCAGCAAGCCAATCGGCTAATACACAGCAACAAGATACTTCTAATTCAAATACTGAGACTACCATCTCTTGATAATCTATTGAAAATTGCTGTTTCTAATTTCTTTTTACTAACAGTACAGTATGTAAACTACAAGTTGTACAAATTATATATGCAAATATCACTGAAATGTTTTTTAATGGGCGTTACATAATGATGTGTGTAGGTAGACCTTTTGATTTGAAATTGATGTATTAGAAATCGGTAGGATTATTCCTGAGCGTTTTCCAACATTTTTAGATTGTTCCTTGGTATCTATGCGTCGTATAAAGGCCAAGATAAAACGCCGTATATCTGGTTTTTTTTACCTGACTGATACTGCATGTCAAATTCAACTAAACTTAGGTTTGTTTTAATTGTTGATAATCGTAAAGATCTGAAATGATTGTAGTGTCTTAAATCCCGTTGCATATCCCCGCTGGTTGTGGCATCGTAGTCCGTTGCTACGGTGGTTTAATAACACGTTATATTCTTTTAAATGATTTCTAACTGAAATTTTGCATTAATAATTTTTTCCGGCGTACATATTATCGGTGGCACTATATTCTTGAACTGTGTTACATTTATTATTATTATTGTTCCCTTGGGTTCCTAGTGGAACATAGGGCTTCAACTGCACGTCTCCACTTGCTTCTCTCTTCTGTTGTACTTTTCACCTGCATCCATGTTAATCCATACTGTTTCAACTCCTCTTCACACGATCTCCTCCATGTCACCCTTCGACGTCCCACTCGCCGCTTCCCTTTCGGGTTCCACTCGATGGCCTGACTCGCGATGTCACCCAGCGGCCTCCTCAGTGAGTGTCCAATCCATCTCCACTTTCTCCTGCATATTTGTTGGCGATTGGTTCTTGTTTTGTTTGTTTCCATAGTTTCTTGTTGGTGATTCTTTCCGGCCATCTGATCTTCAGTATAGAACGAAGACAGCTGTTGATAAAGGTCTGAAACAGGCTGTTGGAAATATTCTTTGTGACCCGCCAAGTTTCTGATCCGTATAGAAGAACTGACTGACTTGACGTTTGTATTGAAAATCCGAATTTTGTTGTTGATGCTGAGTGACGAGGATTTCCAGATTGGTTTCAGGTTGATGAATGTGTTTCTCGCCTTCCCGATTCTCGATCAGACATCCTCGTCCGTTCCTCCTGTAGTTGAGACAATGCTCCCTAGATAAGTGAATGAAGTAACCTCTTTCAAATCCCTCCCGCTGATGGTGATTGGCACTGGATGTTTCTGCTGCTGTTGTTGTCGTTGGTTGGTTATTTTCATAACCTCCGTCTTGTCTATGTTCACCTGGAGTCCTGTCTTCTCTGGCTGCTTCTTCGACCAGTTTGTCGGTTTTCGCTTGTAAGTCTTCGATTTTGTGTGACATCAAACATAAATCATCCACGCGCGAAATCCAGGTCTTCTAGGTTCTTCACGTCGGTCCAGGATATCCCTGTCTTCTCGTTTCCCACTGTCTGACGCATAATCCATTCCACCACAATTAGGAATATCATTGGTGATAATAAGCACCCTTGTCTGACTCCTGTGTTTACTTCAAACGCCTCGCTGAGTTTTCCGTTGTGGATCACTTGACATGTGGCGTTGTCGTACAGCTGTTGAATGAGGTTGATGAATATTTGGGGTACGCCGTAGTACTTGAGTGGTTTCCAAATTACTTCGCGGTCAACGCTGTCGAAGGCCTTCTCAAAGTCTATAAAGTTGAGGCAGAGGTTTGATTGCCATTCCATGCTTTGTTCGATGATGATGCGTAGAGTTGCAATTTGGTCAGAACATGATTTGCCTTTCCTGAATCCAGCTTGTTCTGGTCGGAGTTCTGTATCCAGTGCGTCCTTTATTCTCTCCAGGATGATGCGACTCAGGATTTTACTTAGCGTCGACAGGAGCATGATTCCCGCCAGTTCTTGCAGAGTCCTGTCGTGGGTGTACTTGAGTTGGTGTTGGTATTTCTGGACGGGTTCAGGTGGTGGTCTGTTCAAGAGTCTTTGAAGTGGATGTCTTGCTGTGCTGCACTTTTATCAGAAAATGTTGCTTGATACTGATATCTGCTCAATGTAATGGAGTGAATGGAGGCAGTGAGTTCAAAAGTTAAACGTATATTGTTGAATCTTCATGAAATCATACTGGTCAATTTGGCCTACTTATTCAAACGCTCTAATATCCACCGGATAAAGATGGCGTCACCTCAAAGAAGGTATATGCCATATGGTCGCCCGATAACGAGATCTGCGCGCCGCTCGATTTCCTACCTGCGTGTTCATTTTAATTCTATTTATAATATATTCACTTTTATTTGCCTCCTTGCAATAAAACAGAGCGACTGTAATACACTTAAACGACGTCATATCACACCATGGTTATCCTACCTATATCATTTCTTGGGGCTGGACTTTCATCAAATTAACACTTAACCAAGTCTCGGCTGGAAATTTTGAAACGTGCATAGCAGGACAACCAAAAAACTTCGTATGAGGGTTCTACCATTCCGTTAATTTCACTTACTTTTTTCATATTTATACCATTTACTTATGGATATGATTAGTGAAGTTAAGTCTCGAGTTTAAGTTGAAACTCCCTCCAACTTACACTATGGTGACTAGAGAAGATGCACAGAGCATTAAGAGTGATTCCTTAAAGTTCGGCTTACAAGCTGAGTTAGGTACAACATTATCAGGTAAAATACCTGTTCCGAAAATATGCGTCAACATCACTGTCCAAACTTTCTCTTTGGAGGGCTTTACGGAATTAGCGAAACAGTGTTCTACCCCGTTTGGACGTCGTGATATCATTATACCTATGAAGACATAGGAGAACACTACTGGGTGAAATAGTGGTACCTGTGGTTTTATAGTTTCAGAAACGGTTGCAGCTTCTTTCAGGAGTCGGGGAACTGAGACAAAAGCATCCAGCCTACGAGCCACGAATTCTGATTCAGTAATCTCTGCCAACAGCTTTGATGTGTCTGTTCAAAATGCCACATACACCCAACTTTATTGGCTGAGCTTCCAAAGAAAGATCGATTTCACAAACACACATGATGAGAGCAGCAGGACTTCCTCGAAGGATGGTAAATATTGTTGAAATGCCGGGGGTGAACAGAAAGTAGATCTGTAAACATCAAAGACATACTAGTTAGACAGGTGATAGCAGTCTTCGGTGATGTCCAACGTGCCTGTCTGTATTGAAAACCCACTGGCTAGTAAGGAATTACTTGGTTATCAGTAATGGAGTGCTTGTCATTGTAGGTTAGGGTTCGGCAATCCGCAGACTTTACCAGAAAACCATGTTACTTGATGAGAAATCCTACCACTAAGTCACCCTGGGCTCAACTAGGTGAGAGGAACAACTCCAGCCTTTGTTACAGATTCCGACCACCCCACATAATGCTGCAACCAGACGGACCGTGAGTGTAAGATAGTCACCTCGTAGGCCACGGCATGAGGTTAAAACAATAACCATGTTCATGTATGGTGACCCAGGAAGGTCATTTGTCGACACAGGCGAGAAGTAGCCGTATGATATACAACAGTAGTTGCATCTGTCTCCAAGTCGCAACGACTGGCATCTGTATGATATCTCGCCCACTACATCTACCCAGAGTCGGCACACCACAACTCATGTTAGTAGACTTCAGTTGTCAAGACAGTATCAGCGACGTTTTCTAATTATGCTACACAGTTAAAATCAACATGAACAGCATCATACGATGTGGCAATAGCAAGCCTAGGGCTTTTAGAGGCTGACGGTATTGACGTTCGCGAATTGTACGGAGTATACTAACGCAAGATCTAATACCAACAACTTCTATAGTATTCGTTCCTCGTGTACCAAAGGCAAAGCAAAAGACAGTATTGGGTCGTCCAAACTACGAGATATATTTCGGGACCAAATCGTGGACTGAAGTGAATGCTTAACTGGCTAGTGATCGTGCACGAACGTGACACGACGGAGTACCAAATGGCATGGATGCTTGACCGGAAGCCTTCAGTTAAACAAGTCGATTTAAACAGTGAGGGTCAGCATCCGATGTTCAGTGATGATTGCTGTGGTCAGTAATTTTGAGGAATTATTTACCGCTACAGGCTCTACGGCAACAGTAGAGAGGCAATACGCCAAAATACCAATACCTGCATGGCGACAAAGTGTAAAGGAGTTATTTTCAACAGCAATTGATACTCCAGAAACACAGCAAGGACAGTTCCAGTTCAACTAACTGAAGTGTGAAATGATGCCTTAAACGACATCAACGGCTACCGAACACAACAACTGTGCAGTGGCGGAGCTCAGAAGCAAGATAATTGGACTGCGATCATTGTGTTCTCATTTCTCACCGTCTGGTTAACAACCAGCGCGATGACACTGAAATGACCACAGAAGGGATAACTGTACAGAAAGGAACAAGGTTAGATGGACGGCAAAGGAGTCGTAGAGTTATGTGTAACTTGCAAGGCCGCGCGTCCGGTGTAACATCACTGTACAGAATATTACTCTCTTGTATGAAAAACTCAATAGATACCCAACCCCCATGATGAACCACCGTCAAAAAAGATGAAAACGATCCTTATAATTTCAACCCTGAGATTCTACCGGGTCAATATCGTTGATACATTTAGTGCACCATCACTCAGCGCCGGTGAAAAAAGCAGATATTGGAGAGTTTCCGGTAGGGAACTCATTAATACTGGTTTGTATGAAACCGTTAAGGACGACATACACTGGAGGATGGGAGTCAAACCATTCGAGTAAAATTGCAGTTTCGAAAACGATCAACTGTCTATACAGAATGAACAGTTGAAACCACAGTTAGCCAGAAGTGACCACGAGAATGTAGTCTTCGAGTGACCCATTAAATAATAATAAATCAAGTATAACTGCCTTGTCAACTGCGTTATGGTTGACCCGGCTTTGATCGAATGAAAAAAGCTGTTTTTCGGTGTCTGCCACAATAGCACAATTCAATAACAGTGCCATCGCCAGGCATCTCCTCGACACGGGTCATGAGATGGACGTCGAAATGTCGTTAAAATTATCACTAGAGAAGAGAGCTCAATTCTCATCAAGTTTGCTGAAGCCAATTCAATCAAGCGCCTGAAACCTGATTTATGCGTCCAGAAAGAAGCGGTTAT